ACTTTGAAAAAAATTATCTCGATATCCCACATCAGAAAAATAAAAAAAAAGTAAGTTGTTCAAGTGGCACATTCTAAAAGCTTCATTTTTTCTAAAACACTCACGTCAGCATATCTTTTCTATTTACATATAAAATTACACACAAATTAAATTTCAATTATAATAACCAATTTTGTATGGACTATTTTTCTTTCCTTTTATGTTTTTTATTTTTTGGCTATTTCATCGATGTCTTAATATTAATTTATATTTAATTTTATTTATATATATATAAATAGTGTTTACCCTAAAAATTTTCTCTCTCCTATGTGGCATATTTCTCTTTTATTTTTTTTAAAGTGTCACGTAACATACCTTCATACTTAATTTCTAAAATCTAATATTTAAATTTTTTTACTTAATCTAAACTATTCATAAATAAAATTTAAAATAATTATTTGTACTAAAACGGCGTCCAAATAAGCCAGCTTCTCCCTTATGAAACGCAACTTTTAAGAAATATCCAATACCCTGATTTGGTCCCTCTCATTATAGAAAAAACGCTTATCACGGTTTAGTGGACGGTGGTTCTGCAATATTTATTGCAATTTTTTATTTTTATTTTTATTTTTTTATGTCCTAAAAATAATTTAAAATAAGCAAAAATAAAAATTTCAATTATTGAGAAAGTGACTATTTTAGCTTCTTCGTTTACATTATTCCATTAGCTTTGAACTTATTTGAGACTGCAACAAATGACATTGATATAGCTGAAGTGAGACTTTTCATTTTAAAATAAAGAACTTTACACTTTTCAAAGTATATTCATTATATGTTATTTTGGTCTGTAATATTTCATTGTATTCATTTGATCCCCAACTTATTTAATTTTTATCTCAATGAAGAAATTTGGACAAAATTATATGGAAGTATTGATGAATAAAATGGATAAATTGGGGACCAAAGCAAATAGTCCCTATTATAGTTTTTGTCTAAATATCTGTTCATTTGGACGAAATATCTTTGTGCTTTTTGTTATAAAATTTAAACGAAAACGACTATGAACTCAACTTATTGAATTTGTGTTTAAATGGACCTAATGTCATTTTGGTGAAAATTGGGCCGAACTATGAGATGGTCATAGTGGCCCACAATACAAAGGGCTGAGTAAAAAAGGCTGTAAAAGTTACTCCGGCCCAAAAGAGGTATAGAATTACTCCGGCCCAAGATACGTATAAAAGTTACTTCGGTCCGGAAGCAACTTGAAGTTAGACCGGTCTTGGAGTTATACCGGTCGCGAATCGTTAGTTCGGTCTAAACCGTACCATGAATTACACATGAAAAGCCGAAGTAAGGAGTAGAAGGAAGAACTAGTTCGGCTCATTCTACGGCTATACATAGTCCTGTTTACTTCGGTCGTATTGGAGTTCGGTCATGATGAAACCATCTCACTTGATTTAAGCAGTGAGGGGGTGTTGAAGGATAAACATTATCTTTCAGGAGTATGAATCCTAGAAGGACTCTACATGGAGGAGTAGAAGTCCTATTAGGATTGTGCCACACAGAAAACCTATAAAAGCTCACAAACATCACCTTGGGAGAGGTAACACACAACTTTGATTTCTGGATACACAGAGCTTTGTCTATTTGTCAAGTTTGCTGACTTAGGCATCGGAGGGGTTTCCGACACACACCCGCCGACTAGCTCACTTTTGTGTTTTTAAGTGACAAAGCGACGTCGTACGAAGGAGCACAGACTTAATCAACAGGATTATACGAGAAGGTATATTTCTTTCCCGTATAATAGACATATTTAAATAATGAAATTTAATTTTATAAAATATTATTTAAAAAATTAATTTATTAGTGAAAAACAATATCAAATCACATCGCATCACCTCATTTACTGTACTTAGACGCCTTCTAAACTACTCTCATTTAACTATAGTTGGACTTGGACCCCTTCAAAATCATATCTAAACTACTCTCATTTAACTATAGTTGGACTTGGACCCCTTCAAAATCATATAATTTTCTTCTCTCACTCAGCACCACAACTACTCCTCTCACCCTCAGGGTTATTGTAATCATATGAAGTGATTGTTTGGGATGCCTTAAATAAATATTTTTTTTTAATTTTTAATTAAAAAATAAATATATATGTTTAAAATATTTTTTAAAATTTTTACGAAATATGTATAATAAAATATTACAGTTAAAACAAAATAACTCTTCTCCCATTTTGACTTAACTTTTGGTTATTAAGGGCTAGTTTGGCATGTACTAAATAAGCCAAAAAGTCAAAGAGTCATTATCTTATTTTAGTCACATCATCTTATTTAAATCACCTCACCTCTCTAACACATCACATCAAACCCAACCCAAACCCACCAATAAGTCAAAAAGTGTACTTTTTTAAGACATCCCAAACCAACCCTAAATTCAAAAGGCAAAATTAAACTTCCTCACAAGCTTCCACCAAATAATATGAATTTTTAGATTTTTTTAATAACTTTTTAACTTTTAAAATTTATGTCAAATTAATCCTAAATTTATATAATTTTCCGTATTTTATCAAAATATAGATGATTTTTATAATTTATCCAATAAAAATGTAAAGGATATATGGTTAATATATAATAAGGATAGTCATATATAATTTGAAAAAAAAAAGAAAAAAGTAACGTATGAGTTGAAATTGGAGCAACACTTTATAAATCGGTGGAAACTTTTTAAAAATACGAGCAACAATGAAAAACATATTTTAAAATCATGAAATCTTCACCTAGAACAATGATATATATATATATATATATATTTTTTTTGAACTAGATGAAAATGTCTTTTATCTCCTGCATTTTGTTCGACAGAGAACCTTAGGCCTCCATAAAATAAAACAAAAAAACCTTAGCCCCCTTCTCTGCCAGCTCTTCTGCACTTCCTCATCACCACCTTCCCCCCACCCCCTCCCATTCTCGTCATCTCGCACCACTTTCGCACCCACTCTTGACACATGTCTCTACCCCTTCCCACTCATTCCTCATCCATTCCTATCATCTCCACCTAATCCAACCAACCCAACCTAACATCCTAATTAACCTAAACCTTCGCAATTACAACTCTTAATTTAATCAATCCGCCAGTTTCTATTTTTCTTCCAAACCGCACCGACCCGCACCGCTATTAAATCATGTTTTATAGGATTCTAAAAATTCTTTTTTACTTAAGTTTGCTTATTGTTTTATACCTTAGAATATAGTATTACATTACTGCTCGAGGGGAATTTTATGTATTGTATTTGATCATTGTAGCTTCCACAGATGCTTGTAATGAACTGATGGCATAGTCGTTGATATTATCATGTTGTTGCTACACTTGCTGCATCAGAAGAAAGCTTCGCAAGATGCTTAACATCACGATATCTCTCGTCTTTTTTGTACTCTTTGATTTAAGTTTTGTAATTTGAATTATATTTTTTATAAACCGCCAATCCGCCCGAACCGCCAAGGCAAATCCGTCATTATTTGCCAACCGAACCGCCGGTTTTTGATAAGAAAAATGGCAAATTCTAGTGACACTTTTATCAATCCGCCACCCGCCATACGGTTTCTATTTTTCTCTCAAACCGCACCGACCCGCACCGCGCACACCCCTACTCTTGACACATGTCTCTACCCCTTCCCAATCATTCCTCATCCATTCCTATCATCTCCACCTAGTCCAACCAACCCAACCTAACATCCTAATTAACCTAAACCTTAACTCTTAATTGTTTGAGATGATCTAAATAAATATACTTTTAAAATTTTTACGAAAAAATATAAAATATGAATTGAGTTTGAACTGATATAATAGAGATATGATACAATTTAAATAAGATGATGTGATTTAAATAGAATAATTACTTTTTAACATTTTTAAATTATGACAAACTAAGCCTAAGTCTATATATGCACATAAGTCATACATAAAATGAGACACATATCTTATAAAAGATAGATAGACTCACATGATACGAGAGCTATCCCTTATGAGGCATCAATAACATTATTGATTACAACCACCTAAACTAGTTCACTCTCCCGTTACCTTTATAATTTTCATAATTTCAGAAATATCACTCACATCATTTTAATTGAATTTTATGGGTAAAATTTGTATTTATCAACTATTTTCATATACAATAATAATCCAATTTTGACATCACCATATTTTGATCCATTCATTAAAAATAATAATAATAATAATAATAATAATAATAATAATAATCAAAAGTAATAGGTGATTTATATTTAAAAATACAACTATCGTTTATTTTTTTGGTCATAGAATTTAATATGTTACAATTAGTAGATTTTTTTTTTTTCTTTTATAGATAGCCCTGTTTGGTAGAGCTGTGGGAAAGTGCTTATAGCTTATGCCTAAACAGCTTATAGCTTATAACTATGAACATAAGCTGATTTCTGACTTATTCTTAAAGCATCTCCTGCCCCACTTAAAGAATAAGCTGATTTCTGACTTCCAAAAAGTTATAAGCTATAAGTTATAAGTTAAACCAAACACATCAAAATAGCTTAAATTAAGCTGAAAGCTGAAATAAGCTGATTATAATTTCTGCCAAACAGGCACATAAAATGAGACACATATCTTATAAAAGATAGATAGACTCACATGATACGAGAGCTATCCCTTATGAGGCATCAGTAACATTATTGATTAGAACCACCTAAACTTGTTCACTCTCCCGTCACCTTTATAATTTTCATAATTTCAGAAATATCACTCACATCATTTTAATTGAATTTTATGGTTAAAATTTGTATTTATCAACTATTTTCATATACAATAATAATCCAATTTTGACATCACCATATTTTGATCCATTCATTAAAAAAAAAAAATTAATTTGGTGTTTGGTTAAAGAATTTAAGAAAAAATTTTAAAATTTTAAAATAAAAAAAATTATATAAAAATAAATAAAATATAAATATATTTTAAACACATTTGACCGATCTTTCCCATTTCTCTTTCTAACCCAGCTACCAAATTCCCTAATCAAACGCATAGTGAAGAAAGAAAATGCAACAACAATTCAAGAAGTAACCCTCTTTTTCAATCCCCCTAAATTGGTAAAATCCATCAGAGAATAAAAGGCATTGCAGACTTCCAAAAAAAAAAAAAAAAGAAAAAAAAATTACAAGAAGAAAGAGAGAGAAAGGGGTCTATGGGCAAAAGGGTGGTGAGGTACCAAGACGAGTCCGATGAGTGGGAATGGTGAAGTGTCTGATCCTCCCTTCTTGCTCTGTCAAGTAACCTTGACACAGAAAAGCCTTTGAAAATTTATCTTCCACAACTCTATCCACATCATGAACAAACACATGAGTAGTAGTAGTAGTACTAACACTAGTATCACTACTACCCTCTTCTTCTGCTTGTGCGTCTTCTCTGTTCCTAGCCATTAACCCAGCTGTATAAATAGCAGTCATCCTCCCTGGAGCCCCATCATGATACCCAGTGGGCGCATCCACCATAATCAAGTCCCACTCTACATCGTACACCTCGCTCGGCAACCCTTTCAGCGCCAGCTGACACTTGGACAACCTCGGATCGCTCACTACTTTACAATCCTCCGATCCCAACCCATATTCCATCAATTGATCTGCTTCGGTTACTTTGGTGTCGTAGACTACGTGGTACGATTCTAGACTGGGCAATTGCTTAGTGATCTGGTCGATCCAGGACTTGTCTTCTTCGAGGAAGACGGTGCGGCCGCCGTGGTTGAGGGATGTCCACATGAGGCTGTCGTGGCCGAGGCCGAAGACGAGGAAGTTGCAGGGTGACTTCTTTTCGAGGACTTTGAGGGAGACTGAGATCTCCTTCTTGGTTTGTTGTGGGGTTATGTTTGAGGTTGCGTAGTGGACCATGGCTTGGGCTAGAGATGGTAAGATTTTGTTGCATGTTGGGGTTGATTTAGTGTTGGGTTCTTGTTCTGGACAAGATGTTGAATCTGATTGGGTTTTATCTTGTTGGGAATTTGATGATGAGGAGTTTGATGAGGAGAGGAGGGATGGGATTTGTTGGGAATATAGGAGAGAATTTGATGATGATGATGATCTTAGGACTAAGAAGAGAAGGAAAAGGAAGGCAAGGCAGATGAGGATGAGCTTAAAGTTGATGGTGGATTGGGTTTTGGATCTCATCTTTCTTTCTTTCTTTCTTCTTTCTTTCTTTTTTTGTGTGATGAGAGAGAGAGAGAGAGAGAGAGGAGATGGGTTTGTGGGGTGTGAATGTGAGCTTATAATTTAGTCTGGAATGGAGAAAAGTGGTGGGTGAGTTGTGAGGGGGGAAGAGGATTTCTGGATTTTGAGATACAAACAGTAAATGATGTTGTGAGAATCTTTCAGTTGGAAAAGAAACATCATACTAGAGAGAGAAAAATATGAAATATATCTAAGGTCAAGTTTGGGAAGACTAAATAAGTGTACTTTTTGTCTTTTTGGACTAAAAAATTGAGGTTGAAAATATGGATGTTTGGGTTAACTTTTTGACTTTTTATTGAAAAATGTGTAATAAAAAATTGTAAAAATTGATTTGTAGGGAAAAATTTGAATTGAGAGTTGTGCAGCCGTAATTGTTGACTTTTGATGAATAGAGCAGGAGAATCGACGATGAGGTACGTATGAGGAGTGGTGCGCGGGAGTGACTGTATAAAGAGTTTGAAAAATTCACTCGGGTGATAGGGCAATTTTTTCCCTACTAAACTGTTTGGTCGGTATTGAATCAACATTTACTTAAATAACATTCAAAACGGGGTCGTTTCAAGATCTGCGACCAAATCTTGGTCGCTAAAAATTTTACAGATGTTTCCAATTACAATTTTACAGATGTTTCCAATATTAATAACTAATTTTTTTTTTTTTCAAATGACAACTATGTACTCTATATATATATAGAATATTATTTTTTAAAATTTTCATATAAAATTAATTATCATAATTCCGAATGTGTTACCAATAATTTCAATATCAAATAATATTTATTTTTATTTATTTTTTGTTTCTAAGCGATATAGGCTTTGTTTTATTAAAATAATTGCACTTATTTGCGGTATATTATTTTTTAAAATTTTTTTTACATATTTTTTAATGAAAAATTAAAAATTACACTTATTTGAAAAAACAACTCTTAAGTCTAACACATTGTTCCGGATGTACTTTCTACATATATTTATTGTTTGTACTCAACGTATATATAGATTACATGAAGAGCTATCTGGTATAATTTTGTATAAGTAGAAATAATTTTAGGAAAAAATTATGAGATACACCTCTTAAAATGTGGGTATTATATACATCTTATGATTATAAAAGAAAATAGGGCGAATTAAACTAACAGTCCTTATAGTTTGGACTTTATATCACTTTGGTTTCTAACTTTTTAATTGTTACACATTTGACTTTGAACTTTGAATCTTGTTCTAAATAAGACAATTGAAGATACCATTGTGTTGGCTACATATTTTGTATAAGCTAATTATAATTCGACGCGTGGCAAAATAAGGATAATATAGGAAGACTATTCAAGTCTTCGATCCTAATCGTACACGTGGCAATTAGTATTGGTTATTACGAGATCTAAGTAGCAGTAGATCAACAAAGAGATGCAAGGTGATGTGCCTTCAACAGTTACTCACATTTCAAATTCAAATTTAAGAAGGAAGCCTAACTGCAAGTAATGGCGTAATAGAGCTAATCTTGAGGTAACATGATCAGCGATCATGGAAGAGCAGTTCGATGGTTAGAAATGCAGTTCGATGGCCATCCTTGAGCAGTATAAATAGCAGAGAAGGCCCTAGAAAAAGCCCCTAGACTTAGATCCAAAAAACCAGTCTTATTATACTTATTTTAGTTTTACATTTCCAGTCTTACATTTTCTATACTTTAAATTCCTACACTGCACTTCGTTCATAGGAGTAGTTTTAAGTAGATTGTTGCTGTAAACCTCTACAAGGCTGAGTTTAAATCATTGTAAGTTTTTTCATGTTAATGAAGTACTTCAACTGTTCTTCATTTAATTGTTATTTTACTTAATTCTTCTAAATCAAGCCACCAGTAAAAGTCCTTTTCATTGAGGCTGAAAGAAGTAAAACGCAATCGTCTGATAATTGGTTGACAATTAATTTTTTGTAAAGGCTGATTGATCCTTGCTGGCACACTCGCAATTACAATAATAACCTTCGAAAGCCAAAAAGCCAACATATATTTTTGGCACCCCGGTGAGACCAATTGAAATGGCTAGACGTAGGAGACAAGGAGAAAATGAACGCTTGGAAGAAGGCGTGGAAGGAGAGAGAGGTAGAGATACCTAATCCAGAGGATAATGTGATAACACATCCTGTGGAAACTCCCATTTTATCAGAACCTATGGTCGAACAGACCAGTACTTCAGAACAAGTACCACATGTTCGTAATATTGGACGAAACCAAGGAATTGGACCATCCACTGTCCCATCTACTCAGCCAATAAATCCATAGGGTGGCCTAGTAGATGCTGTGGGACAGCAATTAATGAACACAATGGAAATGTGGCCAACATCCTTTTTGGACCGAATGAATAACCACCAACTAACAAACGTAAGACACATGGAGGAAGTTTCGAATGTCCCTCAGCAAAGATTGGCTAGAGATAAACAGCCTATACAAATTAATGGGCATTCTAATGGTCAAACTAGTAATCAAAACTACGAAAGACCATCACCTCAGTCTTGGCACGAACCTATTCTGAGGCATATAACAGGTCAAAATGCCTCAATACTTAACAGTGAAGCCATGCAATTTGGTGGATCTGGCCCAGTACAAGAAAACGGTATAAGAATGGTTCCAAATCCCATGTTCGAAGCCATACCTGGCACAAAGGGATTTCACTAATCCCTTATTCGAATTTATACCCGGGGGGTTGGAAGGTTTTCCTACAAATGGAAGAGACACAACACCAGTTCCAGCACCTTTCGCAGGTCTTTTCGCAGGACAGGCTCAAAGGGGTTACCCACACCCCCAACAGCAACCTATACCACAAGGACAACCAGTCCCAAATATACCACCTTATGGACCAAGAGGACCACAGGTACAAGTTTGTCCACCAAATCCTGTGTTTGCCCCTCCAGTAGTGGTTCCGCAGGCACAAAATATGGTCCCTAGGGACCAAATTACTGACATTGTTAGAGAGATGTGTGGACCAATGGCTCGGGGGGTCTAGACTCCAGTGTATAGGAAACCGTACCCAGAATGGGTGGATTGGGTACATGAATACCTAAGAGGTTTCAGGATACCAGATTTTGCTCTTTTTTATGGGAATGGAAACCAATCAACAGTGGAGCATATTGCTAGGTTTGCTGCTCAATGCGGTGAATTTACTAATAATGACTATATGAAACTAAGGTTATTCCCAAATTCCTTAGCTGGTGGAGCATTTGTATGGTATATTAACCTTACACCTGGCTTTATTCAAACATGGCAACAAATGGAAGAGGCATTTCATGCCCAATTCTTCCAATCGGAGCTAGAGGTTTCCATGGAAGACTTGGCAAGATTGAGTCAAAGGCCTGACGAGAAGGCTACTCAGTTTATTGCCCGATTTAAAAGGGCTCGAAATAATGTAGAGTCATCCTGCCAGAGCCAGAATTCGTGAGATTGACTCAAAATGGCTTAGAGTTTAGGCTTCGAAAGAAGTTTGACTCGACTGAGTTCAGAGACTTAGTAGGACTCACTTATAAGGTGTCTAGATACGAAGCATTATTAGAAGAAGAACAAGATTGAAATAATGCATCGTACAAGATATATTATAGAGATCCTAACTATGAGATCGATGCAGTAGAGATTGTGGGAAAAGAACCTGGGATCTGTGAAGCATTGATTCATAAGGATACAACAATTGACCAACAGTTTAAAAAGAAGGACCTTCACAGGAAATACTCTTTCGATTTAACTAAGGCAGATGACATTTTTGATCACTTGCTTGCGGCCAACTTCCTTAAGTTACCAAAAGGGGTTAAAATTTCATCTCTTTATGAACTTAAAAGAAAAGTATATTGTAAATGGCATAATTCTTGGTCTCACTCGACTAAGAACTGTATTGTTTTTCAAGACAGAATCCAAGAACAAATTCGGAAAGGAAGTTTGAAATTCCCAGCCAAAGCTGAAAAGGCCATGGGGATCGACAGTAATCCATTTCCAGAAATTAGAGAGGTGCTAGCCAATGTCATTATGCCGAACTTTCAGAACTTGTCTTTGAAAGAATTAGAAGAAGTCAATGTGCAGATGCATGTGGCCAACCAGACAACTGTCAAGAAAGACACTGGAAATCTACTAGCTATTGGACAAAGTTTCTCACACCAGAGGGAAGACTCTGATGAAGAAGCACTGGATGATGATTCCTTAGAAGCAGCTGTGATGCAAAGGATGTGTCCTAGGTGTAGACTAAGCTACAAGTGGTTGAAAGGACTTCCAATTGATGGGAAACAATATTCCAAGGATGTGCAGAGACAACAGATATTCCTACGGTGAACAGATAGAGTTTCAAACCACATATTTTCACATAGTGGAACACAAAATCATATCAAAATACATAATCACATCATGTTAAGGACCAATTAACATATTACGGAACAGGGGTATTACATCCAATTGATGGGAAACAATATTCCAAGGATGTGCAGAGACGTCCTAAACCAACCAATGCTTACAATAAAAGGCCATATCCATCTGGTGTTAAGCAGCAGCCATTGAGGATTGAACCAACAGCTGATAGAATGCATTCCAAGGGCAAGAAGCCTTTACATGAATCCAGGCCGCCTAATTATTACAGAATGGAGAGTAGTCATTCTGAGAGGAGACTGGAGAGAGGTTTAGTTTATGGGATCAAAGCCAGAGATTGGCCCCCTAGACCAGCCTCACACAGGACAGAAAGCGGATACCTTCATCAAAGGCCTGAGCTAGGCCCAAAGCATGAAGTCAAGGCCAAACAGTGGCCTTCACGGCCAGCTTCGAGGGTGATTTCGAATAAGGAAATAAGCAGTTCAACAGCTGGGTCAGTAGGTTCGTAGGTACCTGGAGTCCCAGACTGGTTTGTGATGCAGAACAAACCTAGGGAGGTGTTTACCCAGAGAGAGGTTTCTGGAACCAAGATAGGATGGTCAAACCTCTTTTGGTGGCTCCAAACAATTGGGTCTTGCTTAAGCACCCAAAAACAAATGAACCAGATATGGTCTCCGTAATTTCTAGATCACAAAGGAGAAAAATTCAGCGTAGGTATACTCAGTAGCAACAAGACCTGAAAGAGAGTGGAGAGAGTTCTTCATTGGTACAAACAGAAGGAAAGAAGGATCCAAAGTCAGACCATACTCCAAAACCAACTCTACAAGGCAAA